AAAGGCCTAGCTCATGGACAAGGAAAGGCGCCAAGAATTGGAGCATTGTGCCCGCCCTCCATTGAAGAAAAAACAGAAGATGCCAGTCAAAGATTACTTTCTACCGCAAGCGGGGTAGGCTGTAGCTGAGGTAAGTGACCACAATGTTCGACAGGTTGGGGAATAATATACCAGGAAACAATGAAGTGGTATCCCGAGGAATCCTGTCCCTAGGGACGGGAGATTTTCGCGAAAATTATAGAGAAACAAATCCCGCACTCCTGGTGTTTACTACTCTATAGGTACTGGTTCGTAAGTTACTCTAATAACGGGTGTAAGAGAAGAATAGGGTGATAAGTTTGCCTCGAAGTGGTTAACCACTTTACCGCTCACATTTAGGAGCTGCTATGGCCAAAAAGCCTAATTCCGCTCGCGAGTGGTCAAAAGATCGACGCCGCTTGTCAGCCAAGCATCAAGGCGAGTTCTCATTGGCCGAAAGTGTGGACCCAACATCCAATTATGATCCAGTGTCTGTCAAATGGCGTTGCCAACGTAGCGTCGAAATTTCCAGAATAGTGTCACGACGCGCTGTACATATGCTTTTGGCCTGGTTTTGAGGGTTTGGTACCTTTAGTGGTTCCGTCACCGAAACGCTACCTTCCAAGGTTCAAACGGATAAATGAGCTGAGGTATTACCGTTATTACAGCTGGATTCAGTGGACATCTGTTATCACAAGAGAAGGTTAGCGGAGCGCATGAACGACCTCAAAAAGGGGATTGGTATAAACGTAGACAACCCAATAGAAGGCAGGAAATTTTTGAGGAGGACAGGGAAGGTGAGAAGACGAGAGGCAAACAGTATACCTACCTCCTCCACTTTCTCTGCCTTCGGTTTGGCGGGGTAGACACCAGCACGCATAAATGACGCCTTCCAGCATTCGACCAACTCCGAAGACTCTGCCGATAGCTCCAGCTGTTTGTAGTCCTTGTACACATTTCGCGAGTCCGGGTAAAACAGCGCGAACACGTGCTTCTTGCCAAAGAACCCGGTTTCCACATCTCGAATTTTCAGTCCGTCCAGAAGTAGCACATATCGTTTCTCTTTTTCCTGTCGTCAGGTTATAAAATAAACTATTATGGACGTGTGAATGATAGCACAATTTGATATAAGTAGTATTGGACGATTGTTCGAAATTCGCGAACATCTCACGATTAGTTTCGCCCTGTTTGGGATCGCTATTTTATATTCAGGAGCTGAGAAAATCAATCCCTGATTTTGAGCTCACGGTGATGCATGAAATTGCTGAAACTGACCATCATACTACTTAAATCAAACAAAAGAAATGTGATTGATATTTTCGCGGCGAAATCTCGGGGCAGTCTGTATGCTAGAACAAGAAATATCAATATGCAACTGACTACTTGGTCGAGGCTCCATTTGCAACAGTATCATCAAAAAAAGTAGACAGCAGGATTTTTTGTCACTACCGCCTTGGCCACACCCCGCTGTCGTGACAGCACCATAACAAGTTGTTCAGATAAAGTTTGATAAGGCAACCTGAAAACTGGACAGACCCGATTCCAGGTTGATAAAGTAGTGCAACAACTCTGGGAGGAAAACCATGAACCTAGGAAGGTTTCAACTCAACTGACCATTGTTCACATTCGTTCCGGAATAAAAGTGAAACCGAGGCAGATGATTGTCACACAAACTGTTAACCGGTCTTTGTTGCTGACGGAACTGTATCAAATGGTGGGGCTATCTGTGATTCTCCAATTTACACGTCGTCTCGAATAAAACGATGGAGAAAATGTCTAAAAAAGTAATCAATACAGCAGACGAACGGTCTGATAGACACTGCAGTCCGTCTAATATTTAGGCTCAAAGCGAGTGGGGAGTGATGGCACTGTTACTAGGTGAGTATGTGGCCAAAACTACCATTGGTACACAACGTTAATTTGAGTTGACTGAGTTGAAATCCCCAGGTTGGCGGGTGCTGTACCACTGAAACTAGATAGGTATCAAACGTAAAACTGGAAGGGGGATAATCCTAACACAGTGGGTCTTCAACTACCTACATTGCAACGCACAGTTCTCGACGAACATTGCCTGAGATGCTCTCAAACGTCCGTTCCGCTAACAAAAGGCGCCACAGGACGAAATGTCGTGCCTAAAAGTTCTTACATTTCGATGCCAATAGGTGTCCGACCACCGCATAACACCAGCGGTGTTCTCTTCTGTCTAAAGCAACTGGTAAGCTTTTACGAGTAGAATAGAAGTGAGTGACGGCCATCTTAGGGGCGAGACAGCTCAGTGGTTAGAGTGCGAATTTACTGACCGGAAGGTCCGTGGTTCGAACCCGACCTCCGCCTCTCGACTTCTCCTGTTTAGACTTGGGCGACATGGCAGTATCGCAGCCCTCGTGCTTCCTTCAGGTGGCATGGCGACTGGGTGGGTGTTACAGCTGAACGGTTTAGGTAATTCACTACCAGGCTCGAGCCACAAGCTTGATGGACAGATGCTCAAATCCCGATGTTGGCTAAATACCGCAGAGAGAGAAACGAACCTTTTTGAAACTGAACTGTGTTTTGCGACAAGCGCACACTTGAGAATCAAGTTGTCATTAGCGAGAGGCACGACTAAATCTCTCAGTTGCACTATTCCTCAACTGTATGTGTTGCATAAGGGCCGCCCCAGTTGCAGTTGAAAGGTCCGGACTTTCCATAAAACCTATTCTCATGTGATGCAGCTCACTCTCATTTCAAGGGCATCATTTTGTTTTGAGAAAACATGGATTTTTGCTTCAGAAGACGGTATTCTACCGAGGCCCTGTCAGTCATCAACACATTTTATCCAGAAAAGAAAACATTGTCGTTATGATTGGGGAGAACGGTAAAACAGCAGTATAGAATTTTGTTCGATGGTTGCAGTAGCCAATCCGTGCACGATCGAAAGAAGCACGGTGATGGAAATGGCAGCCAATCAATCAGTGAGGGGACCAGACAGGAACAATCGGAAAGTGGATTCAAACCATGGTGCGACCTGATGTGAAAGGCCTTTACAGACTATCATCGCAGAGAGCCTGAGCAGTACTCGGTTTCCGTCACAAGTAACACATGCCATTTTCACACATCCAATTATATTTAGGCGGGATAATGGTTTATTGTAAACGACACATCGGTCGGGGCAAGATCCTTGGAAGTGGAGTAGTGCGGCTGATTTCCTTGTGTGAAGGGGAATCACACACTTAGCGAATATACACACATTTGCAAACTAATTTGTTTCTTTTTTTCGAGAGACTCACATGGAACCCAGCCGAATCTCTCGTTTATAATGTTCTCAGGCAAATGAATGTGCTGCATTCACCAGGCCGCCTCATGTTTCAGTCGCAACGGTATTTGCATTATCGCGATAAGTGTATATATTTGTATTGTAATGTACTACTCATAAGGTTGCTGAACCCCAGCCGAATCTCTCGTTTATGGTGTTCTCAGGTTGATGGAAACCCGGGGACTGCGCCTACCTGATGAGCCCCAAGAAGGGCGAAACCGGTCGTGGGCTACCGAAGAGTTTTCAGCAACCTTGTGAGTAGTTTCCTTTATGAGAATCACTCACCTTCAGAAGACTGTTTACTGGATGATAAGCTATCGGTTGGAGTTAGTCAAATACGACCGGCTTTGTACACACGTGCAATCTGCGGCAAGGGAACACTGTGCACATACCATACATCGCCACCGGCTATAATAAACACACATGTGGGCACTATCTTCGCCCCCAATCATCGATGATTTTGGATACAGGGAGGAAGTAGTCAGTAGTACCTTTGAAAAGTGAATCCATTAGTGAGGCCAGACAATTAATTGCTTGTCCGTCGTGTATCTTCACGATGACACGGTAGGATACACGAATTAGCGGGAATAGACATGGGCGGAGAATATGCCACGTTGACTGGGAGTGGGCTCGCTAGTTGGGAAAAGCTGTGCGCCATAAATCGTACCAAACACGGTTCATGTAACATATGCTAGATATCTCGAAGCCGACAGTGCTGGTCCCAGTCACCACACATTTTTGTACACGCCGCGTGTAATACGAAAACACTCACTCACCTCGTTGTCCTTATACCAGGTCAATGCCTCGGTGTTCAGGACAAACCAGAATTCTTTGCTTCCACCGCGCAAAAGGGTCACATTCTGAAGCGAAAGCCAGCCTTTTCGAATGACCTAGGAGAGGAAAGCAAAACAAAACAAAACAAATACGCGATCGTTTGTGTGCTGTCCGTTGAAAAACAATGCCCCGGTGGTGTTACCTCAAGCGGTGATGAAACTGCTGCGATCAGCTGAGCGAACAAAAGCTTTCCGGGCTTGTCAGCGAAGCTAATCGGTGCCAATTAGAAAAAAAAGCGCTGTCTGCTGTTTCACCCCTATTGCAAATCACCAAAAGGATACACCGCACCAAACTCCACTAAGGGGTTTTCGAACCCGCGACCTAACAGTCTGAACACAACCTTTTGGCCACCAGAAAGTCGTGCTTTCGAAACTCCTTGCTAAAATTTCGTGAGATACGCCCTACTGCAGATTCCCAACAAGGAAGAAGCAGTGTTTCTCGCCTTTTCAGCATAGACTGGCTTCACTTAGAGGCCGACATCCCTAAATCTCCTCACACTACCAGGAAAAAAACTGACAACAAGATATACTAGTAAGATTGCAATACGTGTTCCATTCGGTGTGCGGGTGAAGTTGAGAAACAAGGGAACCTACCTTATCTCCTGGTTTGGCTTTTGCAGTTTCCGAAGACTGTTGCTCAGCGCTGAAAAGTGAATAGAAAGTTTGAAGAATCAGAAAATCACGGACAGGTGCGAAAAACGAATTGATCAGGAAAAAGATGTCCAGAGGTTGATGAGAGGGGGTTCAAGTTAGAAATGTGGTTAGCAAGTCGTGTCTGCTTCATAGTGTCCAGAAGAGGCTGGGTTAAAACACGGTGTGATAATCGACTTGGATATGAAAAAATCCGGTGACCCCAACAGAGCCACAGACGAAGGTTCTTCTATATTATGCCTTAGTCACATGACCACAAAAGGTGACATATGTTCGGCTGCACTTTGGGGTATTAGTTCAAACAAACTCATCCACAGTGCGGTTCGGAGATAGAAAGTGGTGCATCTGGGAGGTACGGACAAATAAAAGTCTGGTTATTGATCCAAAACTATTCTAAAAATGTTTGCCAGCCCACTACAGTTTTGGTCCCTCGGACGGCTGAATAGGTGGGCGTAGCCTGACACCTCCCCGTACCACGAGCTTTTATCAGTGTCACGGGTGAGTTTTGATTACAAAGATCTGAACTGCAAAGGAAGGGGAGCCAAGGTCACGGGACGTCTGCGAAATAACATGAACCTCGAGTTCGATTGGGATAGACGTTAACCGGACCTTTGTACACTTGCGGGTTAAAAAATTCGCAAAGGCACAGAGATAGAGATGAACAGTTTGTGAAACAAAAAAGTTCCCGAAAAAGAGCGAAGCAAGATTTGACTTCCATGATGTGTGATGACAAATTGATAGACATGCCGAGCTATCCGGAAGATAAGGAACGGGTGAAAAAAAGGTATCTCTAGTGGACACCCCCCATGGAGATGAACAGGTCACGTCCGTGCGTGAGGAAATTATGCACTGAGTAGAATCACGAGAAGTTTCGGACACAAATATGACAGCAGTTATCTAGGCTATGGCGAATTCGAGGTTTACTGAACAAACATCTCCATCGTCGTCAACACCAGATGAGAACACTGGTGCTTAAATGCCATACACACGTTTACTTGGTTTAATATAAGATTACACATATATGGTGCTTTAGACGATTGGACTGTCTGAGTTTGATATCTCTTTGACTTTGCCAATCACAGACGAACAGGTAGTGTGAGCCACAGCGTCGTAGCCAGTGCGTATGTTGGGAGAGATAGGCATCCAAAGCCGACGCGTCTACATTCTGTTTCACTGTCATCAACAGAAATGCAGCAGCTGAACAGCTTAGATGGCTTGAAAAAAAAACAGGATGACGTGGGAATGATCTTGTCTTCCTTTTAGCGAAAATTGAAAGAACCTCTAAAAGACAGCAGAATAAAGCGCGCATGCCATTCTCATCAACGGAAGCGGATCGCCAGAATAGATGACGAAAGTTTTCTGGGGAGAAATTAAGTGGGATGGGTTCGCAGGACCAAAGGGCCAGTAAAAGCTGATGGGTGAGTCTGAGCGACATCGCAGTCAGGAACACGCAATTGAAAGTGAACGAGTTGGTTGAAGGGGTTAGTGATGGAAAAGCATTCGGTCTCACGACTTGATTGCGTGGGAGGATAACAGAATGTACTTTTTATGGTGAGCGTTGACTAAGCCGGAAGCGCAAGCTTGTGCAATGCGGTGCAATCCTAGTCAATTGTTAATGCTTGCTTAGTACAACGTCATAAACCACGCATCGATGATATGTTGGCTACAGCCAATACCGTTGCGTACACAGGGGGGTAAACAGACGAAGAAACTAGGAGTATACACTCATTTGCAAACTAATTTGGTTTTTCGAGAGACTCACTTGAAACCCAGCTGAATCTCTCGTTTGTGATGTTCTCAGGCAACTGAATGTCCTGCACCAGGCCGCCTCGTGTTGCAGTCGCTACGATATTCGAGATATCGCGATACGTGTAGATCTTTCTAAGCTACTACTCATAAGGTTGCTGTCGACGGAGTTTGAGCAACCTTATGAATAGTAGATTACAAAACTAGGGGAGGTTATGGTCGGTTCAAATACAAGGTCACGAGGTTGAGTAAACGACGGCTGTAGGTTCGAATCGAAGGTTTTCGATGTGTGTTACTGCTCCTAACAATTGATACACCTGTCCAAACAGACTACAAGGCCGGTTCAGCGAACTACTGGTCACGGTTCCTTTCTCGCCGAATAAACGGGAACTCAGCCTCATGGGTTTAAGAGAATTATGACACTGCATAAAGTAATACACTACTCATAAGGTTGCTGAAAACTGCTCGACATGCTTGTGCAAAATCCCTTGTTTCGGATCAATCTAACATCAATCACACGCGCTTTCCAACTGCCTCGTTACGGATTCGCCGACACCAACCCACAGAACCATAGCTCGTGTGGGTTGATGTCACCAAATCCGTAATGAGGCAGTTGGAAAGCGCGTTTTCGGTTGTGTAACGGGTAATTCCATTGAAGAATGTGTCCAGCACCAGAAGCTGCGTTGGTTGGGACATGTTTTACGCATGCCGAACCATCGTTCGCCGAAGAGAGTACTGTTTTCCATGCCCAATTCGGAGTGGCGTAAACAGAGAGGTGGCCAACCCATGACCTGGCAGAGGAGTATGAAGGAGATCACGAA